CAAATGGCTTGTCGTATAATCTTCAGTTATTATCTATCCCGCTACGTCAATGCTACTTTTATGTTCTTGTAACCCTTACTTCTCCCTTCTTAGGGTGTCTGCCGCTCCCAACGGTACGCGATGTCTCACCTCTCAGAGCCGAGGTTTTCGCATACGAATTACGCAACCACCCGGATCAACGACAAGTCGAATTTGTCTTATCCGGCATCCGTCATGGCTTTCAACTAGGCTTTCAGTCAAAGCCTCTGCAGCCGGCAGCGCGCAACAAGCAATCTGCACTCGACCATCCCGATATCGTGGACGAATATCTGCGCAACGAAGTACGTTTGGGGCGGGTCGCTGGTCCRTTCCGACAGCCTCCCTTCCCCTACCTGCATATCAGCAGTTTTGGGGTCATACCCAAAAGCGGTCAGCCTGGCAAATGGCGTCTTATCGTCGATCTCTCATCTCCAGACGGACTCAGCGTAAACGATGGCATAGACGCCGACTCCTTTTCTCTCCAGTACATAAAGGTGGACGATATCATCAGGATGGTAGACGCCTACGGCCCGGGTGCTCTTATGGCCAAATTCGACGTCCTCGCTGCCTTTCGAAACATTGCAATCCACCCTGCCGATCGTCCCCTCCTCGGGATGATGTGGCACAGCGAATATTACGTGGACCTAGCCCTGCCATTTGGCCTTCGATCAGCCCCCTTTATCTTTGACTCAGTAGCGTCGCTGGTCGAATGGATTCTCCGTAACAATTACCAGGTCCCAAGTCTTCTCCATTATTTGGATGACTTTATTTTAGCCGGCCCGCCACAGTCTGATACGTGCAGAAAAAGCCTAGTGACTGCCATCAAGGTGTGCGCCCGGCTTGGACTCCCGCTTCACCCTGACAAGTGTGAGGGACCCGCCACTTCCTTAGTGGTCCTCGGGATTGAGCTAGATTCGGTCAATAGAACAGCTCGCCTTCCGGCTGGAAAACTGTCCMGACTACGTACACTACTCGATTCTTGGGCTGACCGTCACTGGTGTCGACGACACGACCTTGAATCCCTGATTGGTCACCTCCATCATGCCGCGAAGGTGATTTGGCCTGGCCGCGCGTTCATTCGACGGATGATCAACACCCTTTCTTGCTTCAGGAACTCATCCCATCCGATTCGGCTGAACAATGAATTCCACCTGGACCTTTGTTGGTGGCGCCAGTGTCTTGAATCCTGGAATGGTGTCAGCTTCTGGCTATTCCCRGGTTTATCTCACCCTCCTTCTGTCATCGTGACCTCTGACGCATCTGGCGCACTTGGATATGGCGCATACTCCGGTCATGACTGGTTCAATGGCCTTTGGCTAGACCCCCAAAAGCCTCTTTCAATAGCTTACAAGGAACTTTTCCCTGTTGTTATCGCTGGACATGTTTGGGGTCACCGTTGGGCTCAACAACACGTCCTGTTTCGGTCGGATAATGAAGCTGTAGCGGCAATCCTCAATTCTAGAACTTCTAAAGTTTCATCCATAATGAGCCTCTTGCGCAGCCTCCTGCATGCTGCAGCGAAGTTCCAATTCACTTTCTCTGCGCAACACCTGCCCGGCAAACAGAACACTATCGCTGATGCATTATCTCGTTTTAATTGGCAGGTTTTCTTTCGCGAGGCTCCTTGGGCACACCGCAGACCAACGCTTGTATCGGGCCCACTCCTCCAGCAACTGCTATCAGCTCTCTAACAGCTCGTTGCCACGAACTACTTGTCCATGGCTTAGCGCCCTCAACTCGGCGTTCCTATTCTACCGGCCAAAGAAGGTTCATCAACTTCTGCGCCCAAATTGGAAAACTCCACGACAATGGCTCTGCTTGCCCGGCCGACGAGTGGACATTATGCCTGTTTGCAGCTTTCCTATCTAGCCAAGTCCAACATGCAACCATTAAGGTCTATTTGTCAGCCGTTCGTGCGCTCCACATTGAGCTGGGTTTCGCGGACCCACTTTCAGACGCCTTAAGGCTCGAACGAGTCATCCGCGGCATCAAGAGATCGCAGGGTAGCACAAAAGCCGACCGTCTGCCAGTCACTGACGACATCATGAGGTTGATTCATACTCATCTTGACTTCCGCATCGTCGATCACTTAATGTTTTGGGCCGCATGCTGTCTGGCTTACTTTGGCTTCCTACGCTCGGCTGAGTTTACTGTGCCAAGCCTTGAGGCCTATTCGCCCGTGTATAACCTTAATGTTTCCGACATCTCGGTCGACGCGCTGGACCAACCCACCTGTATTAGGGTAAATATCAAAGCTTCCAAGACTGACCCCTTTCGCAAAGGGTGTTTAATTTACATTGGCAAGGCCCGGCCTCCTCTGTGTGCAGTGGAAGCCCTACT